AGCGGAGGGTTGGATTGCAGGGGGGTGGGTGGCGGAGGGGGACCCTGTAGCAGGTAGTGGTTAACGGGTGTTGGGTTGCAGCGGTGCGGCCGGGGGGAGTCAACGAGGGTTGTCTCACCAGGGTGATCGACATGGGGAGGTCACAGCGCCGTCAGCATGAGGCTATCGTGGACCATGTGCATGACACATTCAGGGTCCGCTCCCCTGTGTATCGGTACCTGGTTGTCGGCCAGAAGGTTGACAACAAGGGGGTCATGATGCTCCGTTGCACGTTTTGCAACAAAGTTTTCCAAGGGACCCAGTTTCAGGCCACGAGGCACTTCTCGCAGACAAACTACTGCAGGGACGTCAGCGACGAGGCATTGTACGAGATTGCTCGACAGACTCAGCAGAAGTTTGAGGCCGATCAGATGAAGAGGGTGTCGAGGTATGCAGCCGAGCGCGAACTCGATGTGCCCGGCACGGGTGGTGCAAGGGGAGGAGAGGCGGGGCGGCGTCCGGCGGAGGGAGGGGTCGGGGGAGATGGTAGGCATGGTGCGGCAGACCCCACTTTGGGTGGTGGAGGCGGTGAGACAGAGGAGGGCGTGATCCACGTGGATCGCGAGGCGCGTGGCCCGGGTGATGAGGGAGTCCCGGAACGGGAGGACGTGCCTGATTTTTATCCATGCACTGGGGAGAGGTTGGAGGACTGGCGGAGGCGAGCAGGCAAGGGAGCTGCAACGGAGGGGTCCTCCAAGAGGAAGGAAGGAGGGAGTGATCCGGCTGCCACCCCAGCAGGGAAGAGGCTTTGGCAGCAGAAGGTGACTGATGTCTACGGTGGTGAGTGGGTTGCCCGCCACAAGAAGGCATTCCTTCGCTGGTTGTATTCCAGGGGGTTCTCCTTCAATGCCTTCCGCAACCAGGTGTGGAAGGCATATCAGCAGGTGCTTCTTGAGCAGCCTGGCAGTTCCCCGCAGGCACTGCTCCCCAACCACTACGAGATTGCGAGTATGCGGGCGGTGGAGACCCACCGTGCAGAGTTGGCGGAGGAGTTGGAGGAGGTGAGGCAGCCATTCTGGGTGAGTGGTGCCACCCTCCTCTCCGATGGGAGGAAATCACGAGACGGGAGACCGATCGTGAATTTCCTTGCTGCTGGCTCTCGAGGGGTCGTCGTGTACACGACGATCAATCGAGAGGGCGAGCCAGACGATGTAGTGCACGTCCTTCGTAGATGGGTTACCATCTTCCACGAGTTCAACTTTGGCGGGCCGCAGCGGATCAATGCGATATGCACTGACTCCGCTTCTGCCTATGTGGGGGCTGCGAGGGCATTGACCTCGCCGTCCATGCCTCCTGCATTGAGGAGGATCACTTGGCTCCCGTGCTCCGTCCATGTCTGCAACAAATTGTTGTTAGACATGGGGACGAGTTGCGACGCGTTCGTGAACGCGATCACACGCGCTCGTGTGCTGGTGGTGTTTTTCAAAACCCACCAGGCCGCCCTTCATTTTTTTAGGACGCGCAACCCCGAGAAGGGGCTTATTCTTTCTTGCGAGACGCGGTTCGCGTCTATTTACTCCATGCTGGAGAGGCTGTTGGTCCTGCAGGACACTTTGCAGGACATGATGCGAGGGGATGACGCGCGGGCTTTTGCTTCCATCCCGTGGTCCGCCGATGTGTGCATCATGGCGCGGTGGGTGCGCCGACAGATCAGATGGGATCCATGGTGGTAGAGGGTGGCCACCATCGTCCATATCATGCAGCCCGTCATAGAGTTGCTCAGGAGGATGGATCGTGGAGGACGGTACATATCCCTCATGATCGAGTGGACGCAGGATCTTGTCCGCCGTGTCACGGGCGCATGCGCCCCTTTGGGGACGTCGTTCGCCGACTGGATCATCAGGCGTGTGCAGGCTCGCACACAGCACATGCTTGAGTCGGCTTACTGTGCAGGGTTTTTACTGAACCCCCGCAGGCGACACGTTCGCTACTTTTTGGGGCAGGTGGGGAGGTACGATGCTTGGCTTGTGGGGCAAGCCAAGAGGTACATTTTGACGCAAACGAGATTCGAGCTGAAGGGTGCGGAGTACATCCTTGCATGTCCGCAGTTTGGGGACTTCCACATTCAGCAGGGTAGGTTCGGGGATTGAGGCGGTCCGGAGGGGCGTGCTCGTGGGCGCGCGTGCAGCGGCGACAACGAGACCATTGAGTGCGTGTCTTGGTGGTCTTAGTTCGGGTCGGGCGCGCCACAGTTGCAGCGTTGCGCTCTTCGGGTGATGCACATGTGGTCTTGCGCCTCTCCAGCGGAGAGGAACTGGGCAGTCCACGAGGGCATTCACACGAAGAAGCGCAACCAGTTGACCTTCGAGAAGGTCGTGCAACTCATTGAGATCACCGCAAATGTGTGGTTGACTGAGTATCGGCGGGCTGGATGCGGTTATGTGTTACCATGGCAGCGGGACGAGGGCATGTTGGATTGCCAGGAAGGACTCGAGTTGGAGCCTGTGCGCACGGGAACTCGCAGGGGGATGACGGACGAGGAGATTGCCCGTCAGGTTGCACTTATTACCCGGGATCCCATCGGGGCGTCCGCACCACCCTCGGCGGATGCCGTTTTCGATAGACGTGCTTGCATTTTTCGTCGCTACCCCAGGGACGAAGACTCAGACGAGGAGCCGATACCCGAGGCGGCAGATGACCCTGCGCTCCGCATTCCCTGGGAGATCGACGAGACGCACGAGGATCCCAGCTCCGAGGACACGAGGGGTGGCGGACCGGGCGGAGAGCGAGATGCTGGGGGGAGACGAGGACTTTTGGGGCCCATTCGGTGAGGTCGCTTCTACGGGCGGCCTAGAGGCGCAGGCGACGACCCCCACTCCGACAAGGCGGGATTCATCCATGCCACCACCTCCTGCTTCGAGTCTTGCACCACGATCGCCCGTCTCGCCACTTCAGTCGGACAGGGAGGAGTTGGGGTCCTCTTTGCCTCAGCGAGGCCTTCTCCAGAGAGGCGGGGCAGTCCGCCAGCTTAGGTTACGATCACCTTCCCCGGGGATAGGGCAGGAGGAGGGGGGATCTTCGGCAGCAGCAGTGGAGAGTTCGATGGCACCATCCGCTGTATCGGACGCGACGATTGCGGCCGCGGTGGAGGAGATAGCAGCAGCATCAGTGCTAGAGGAGATGGCAGCATCAGTGCTGGCGGAGGATCCACCAGCGGCCGGAGGAGGTGCAACAGTGGAGGGGCAGGTGGCAGCAGCAGGAGGAGCAGGTGGAGGAGCAGCAGAAGTGGAGGTTGAGGTGGCAGCAGCACTGGAGGAGGAGGACGCACCGTCGGCAGCTGCACTGGAGGAGGAGATAGCCGCATAGGCCGAGGTGCAGCGTGGGGGCGATGACGAGTGCCTCATGCAGCAGTTCCTCACGGAGGAGCTCGGTCTGGCCATAGCGGGTATGACTTCGGGTGTGGAGAGGGGGTTTGGGATTTCAGATTCGGAGACGGGGACCCACTTAGACTTGGATTTGTCGGTGGGCCTTCCACCCAGTTGCGGCGGGGCGACATCGACGGATCGGGCTCCATCGAGGGACGAGGCGCCAGGAAGGACTTCGACGCAGACCGCCAAAGAGAGGACGACGACGCAGTCTCCAGATGCAGCACACGACATCATGGAGCGAGAGAGGGCTAGACTTTTGGCATCGACTGACCCTCGTGCTCAGGCGTTCGCACGGGCCGTAGAGGACGCTAGGCGTCTAGACATAGGGGGGGATTGTGTGCAGGGTGGGGTGGTGGCGGGGGAGGACGTTGCGGAGGGAGTGGCAGCAGAGCCAGTACCCGAGGCTATGCCGGGTGGAGCAGAGACAGCGGACATTGCTGTGGAGGGACGGACTCAGGCGGTGGATGAGGCAGTGCAGGCAGGACAGCGACGAGTCGAGGGGGCTATAGACTCACGACGCGAGGGGCAGGAGACAACGACGGGTCCAGTCGTTCCGTTCTCGGGCCTGCACTTGGCTCAGGCCCGACAGCCGCAGGCGGTTCAGATGGCAGTGCATGGTGTGCCACCGCCCATTATCACAGATTTGGGGTCCGAGCCGGTGGTTGTGCCGCCACGTCTTCCTAGCCACTTTGCTCCGCAGGAGGTTCGTCGTCCTTTGGATGCAGAGGAGTTGGCGAGAGAGGCTGTGCGCGATGTTACTCGCTTGGACCGACGAATCTTCGACCGGAAGCTCGAGCACCCACCGTGGCAGTCGATCCCTTCGGTTCCATGGGGTCCTGCGTCGCCCTTGTGGTCTGGGTCTACCTCCACTGGAGGACATACCGCGGGACATGTTCCAGGGGTTTCGGGTGGCGTGACGGAGACAGCGCGACGCACAGGAGACATGCCACCCCCTCCTCCCAGAGCACCTGCAGGTGATCCATCATCGTCACCCACGGGCAGAGGCTCTCGATTCCCACACACGCCTGGGAGATCTAGGATTCGTGACACGACAGCAGTTCAGCAGGACGTGTGTGACACGACGATATTCGGAAGGACAGATATACATTTGGATTCCACCCGCCGTGTAACGGAGCACACTGCACGCCTTCAGCCGGGCTTGGGAGGAGGAGGCGCTAGGACGACCATGGCGAGGGAGGTACCGGCATCGGATGTGAGCCTCAGCGAGGTCGTGGCAGAGGAGTGTCGACCGATACCTTGGAGTACGCTCTGAGAGCAGCGACGCGTGTCGTGCAGGAGCAGACTCCACGCAAGCGTGGAATACCTCCTCGTTCATGCCCCGTGCCTGCAGAGGGAGGCACAGCACATGGAGAGAGTTCGGGGGCGAAGGGGTTGGGGATGCCTCGTGGTTCCCGCCGTGAGCAGACCATTGCAGAGGCTAGTGCGAGGGTTGTTGTGTTGAGGAAGGGAGGAGGCCCAGTCACCATCGAGGAGGATGATCATGATACGGATGCGGTTGTGCGGGATGCGGACGAGGACTACGAGGGCGAGGAGGAGGGAGAGGAGGATAGCAGGAGCGGTTCCGATGGTGACGAAGACGACGACTACGATGAGCCCCCACCTTTCCCAGGACCCCCACCGACGCGTGCATCTAGACGCTCCGCTGCACGGACTTCTTCATCCTCATGAGGGAGGAAGAGGTCGACATCCGACACTCGAGGGGGCACGAGGAGACACAGCGGGAAGGGGAAGAAGGGTCGTTGACCGATGAGGCCAACACTCCACTTCTCCCCTACTCGCACTGTACGTCGTCATGTTGTGCGGTTGTAGTTTTTTTGGTAGTCTGAGTCGTCTCATCTTGTCTCAGTATTGTCAGACACTCAGTTGTTGTGTGCGTGCTTTACTTGTTGGTGTGTATGATTTTGGTAGCAGTAGGGTGTTCGTAGAGTATGATTTTGGTGCCCGTAGGCTGAGTAGGGTGTTCGTAGAGTGTCGTCGGTTGCACACTACTGAGTTCAGACTGTACATTTTTTTTTTCTTCTTATATCATTTAGGCAGCTACGACACGACTTGTAGACTATTGTTTCTTGTATTTTTTTCGACATGTGGTACCTGTGCATTAGCAGTAGCCTGTAGGATACATTGTATCATGTTGCATTTGCGTGTGTGATATTAGTATCAGCCTGTCAGGTACTTCGCATCGTTCACGACTTTTCAAGGACATTACATTTTCTGTTACGAGTGATGCACTTTGCCTGCCCATTTTATTGTCGGTGTGAGATTTTAAATCTTTAACTGTTGTTCTCATTTTCAATTTCATTTCTTGCATTTTTTTCTTTTAATTTATTTATGGCTTCGAGAGTTCGGTACTTGTTTTTTTTTCTATCTTATTTGTTGATTCTATTTGCATTGAATGGAACACTAACTGATGTTTCGGGGGGTGCACAGGGTGGGGGGTTTTGT